GAAAAAAATAATGCAATAATGAAAAATGAAAAAGATTTCAGTACAATTCAATCCTTTAAAGATCATCTTTTCCTGTATTCATGGTATGTATATAAGTTTTTGTCAGCACATTATCTAAAAAAACTTGTTCTGTTGCTGAATATTTCTGGGGCTTGAGAATTGAATGATGGGGTTTTCTTTTTTAAGATTTCAATTTATTACGTCTAATTTCCAAAAAGCTTTCTTCTACACTTTATTTGTTTAATTGTTACTAATGTGGCTTTAGTGTAATTAATCGCTCTTTGGTTTTGTTAAAATCTTCGAGTAATTGATGAAATAAAACTTGTTCAAATTAAAGCAAAAGTAGAAAGTCCATTATTTTCGAAAATATTTCGCGCGCTCATATTAAAAAAAATTTGTCGGAAGGGAAGTTAGTTTTAGATATTGTAAGTTACGTTGATTCTAAAATTGTCCAAAACTTCAATTAAATGTACAATGAGGGCAAATGTAGAAAATTGTTTTTCTTTTGCACAACTGACCCAGACTTTTCATATGCCAACTTTAAAAATATTAAGTGTGGAAAAACTTCTTTTTTACCGAAAAAAAAAGTTGAAAGAAATGATACCGCATTATATATTGGCATATTGTCTATCCAGAATTCATTAACAGTCTACCGCAAAGTTTTCTTCATCTATCATCACTGTAGTGAATCTTTTTAAGTTGTAAAGCGGTGAACTGTCTAAAAGCGTTTTGCTCTAATTTCCACTTCTTTGCAGTCCTTTCTTTTAGGTGGTTAGCGGTCACAAAAGAAGACTCATCTTAAATTATTGTCAGAAAATTTACAATTCTAAAATCTATCAATCAAGAAGTTCACTCTCCACTTAAGTGTTAGCCGCAGCATTTTGTAATTAAAACTGCTACCGCCATCATTAACTGCTCCTTGCATATCTATCAGTCACCACTTGTCACGGCGGCTGAACATTTCGACTTCAAAAAAAAAAAAAAAAAAAAAAGATGCTGCAAATCGTTAGGAATTCCCCATTCAGTAAAAATGTCGAATTGATTTTTGCTCTTTTGGAACAGAGCATTCTTTTACTTATTAAAACTTACAAATTAATGTTAATTATTGAAGTCGAAATTCATTTCAAAGTAATCTCAGTAATGATTGAGTTACCTCTGATTTCATTTTGTATTCTTTCAAGAAATTGTTACCTATAATAAGCTAATTTAAATACCATATAACTTGTATATTGGAATTATTATTCTACAAATGAAGTGCTATGCTCTACGGGTAGATAAATGTCACTGAAAATGATAGATGTATGAAAATGAATGCAAGAAAGGATGTGTTCATTTATGAATACAAGAAGATTTGTGCGATAAGCACACATATGATTAATGAACTGTAATATAAAATATGCGGTTGTAGAAAGCGGTAACTTTGTTCTACAAATGGATTAGTATTGAGTTTAGCGAACTGGATAAAAGATATAAGGATGATGACCAGTATGCATCATGATTAGAGTTAATGAATATACCCTATTAATGTTTGATGAACTGATGTTGGCTCTCCTTTTTATGCTAATTAGACCGCACAGAAAATGATGCAAACTAAGCGTAATATTTTCTAGGTATTGAAAGTGATGCAGTAAGTTTGACCCCGTTTGGTAAAGGGAGTAGTCTAATGTGGTAGAATAAGATTTCTTTAGTTCCTATTATCCCGCACCACATATTCTAGAAAGTTGCTTATAATCTAGCACAAGAAGTGACAGAAACATCATTAATCAATTGTGACCTGAGCTTGACCCTTAACCCGCTTTGTAAAAGGTATTCTTTTGTTCTCGTGTATTCGCATTTGGATGTGCTCTGTCCTCAACACCTCATTTGTTTAATTAGAATATAGAAAATAAAAGAAAAGACTAAGAAGTCTGGAAATCTACAGAGGATATCTATTGAAAGCGGTTCTTTTGATGCTCCTTAATAAAAGCTTTTCATTTATGAGCATGTCTTTTTATGCAAATAAGCTTGATAGAAGCTTATTTGGTGGTGACAAATAAGCCTTGTTGTCTACTCATGTAAAAAAAAGGTCATTTCGGTGCGTATTTTTTCTTTCCAAACTCGACCATTTCGTTCATTTTCTTGAACACTTTACCTTTTTCCCCATTATAATTTATCAAAATCACACATTTTCGTTACTTTTGTTTTAGCTATTGCTCATTTGCATTGTTATTTTCGACGATTTTATTAGTGTTGTTAGTAATCTACTATTTATCGCTAATATGATATTTGCTAGATGATTCAATAAATTTTTTTTAAATGTCAAATATCTCATCGATCAATGATTTAGTAACACTCATTCAATTTAATTTCTAGATATTTTCCATTCTACATTTCTTCATCATAAGCAAGTATTTCAGTTTAGCAATTCTCTCCTCTGCTTTCTATTCTTTTGCGATCGACAATCGAATCAAACCTTTTTTTTTTTTTTTTTTTTTTTTTTATTCATTCATTCATTCGTTCTCTCTTCCCCCACTTCCAATTCCATCTCTCAAACAAATGTTTTTAACATTTGTACGGCGCCCCGATGACTAAAATAATAATGCACGAAAGGATTGCTAACTGGCTTCAACGATTTATTTTCTCACTATCCATTACAACAGCTCACTACTATTCAAATCGGTAGCAAAGATGCTTGCCTTAATTTTTTTTTTTGAATTTGCTAGCTTTAATAGTAAACACATCAAGCGGAACCACGGACACCCAAGGAGGGACAAGAAAAAGAATAGAACTTTTTTTATGACATCATATCTCTCTAACTATTACAATATGAATCGAAATATGAGAGAGAGAGAGAGAGTATAATTTTATGATATTGCAGGTCTTACCAATTAGAATCATTTCCATACTTTTTTGTATACGTTTCCTCTCAATTTATGTATGATCAGTAATTAACCTTGAGGATAAACCTAATTTGCGGTACATACTCGCCAATCCTCTATGATGTTACCGCCATCACCGCAAATTATTTATTTTTATTCGATAATTAATTTTAACAAAATGAGAACACCACACTACTCCTTTCCTGTGCCTCTAGAAGTAGGTAAACATTCAGATAGTATTTGTTATTATTTCATTATCTGTACTGATAAGCAAAATTTTTGAAGTCTTGAATTCAAGGGAGCTAAATACGACTTCTAAAAGTCCAGATTCAACAGTATTGATTAGTGCTTATCAGCATAAGCTTATTCGATTGTTTGCTGGAAGAGCATGACGGCAAATTTAGTAAGGAAAGTAAACATTTCATTATAATTCCTTTCGGCTGTTGTCATTTTTGGACCAGCTGCATTTTAGTCACTTCTAGATAATACTTGAGTCATTTTGCTGATAATCATGTCGTTAATATCTTCCAAAACACATTAGTCTTCTTTTATTCGATAAACGAATATTTCATTTAAAATATATGGGTCCTCAATTATGTTTACTAATTGATAACTTTGCATTATTTGGCATAATAAAAAAGCATCAAAGAATGACCCTATTTAATGTTCTCATTTCGAAGTGATGATGAGAAAATAGGTCCTTTACGGTGTTCATTGGGAAAAAAAAATTAAAAAACGACTACCAGGAATATTAACAATAAAGGAGGAATAATTATTGCCCGATCGACTAATGGATGTGAAAAACACTCTAAATAGTTAATAGGGTAGTTATTTTATCTTTTAGTTGTCATATGTGTTTCTGCATTAGAGAGCCTTTATTAGGTCATTCCAGATGTGACTTAATACGAGTTTTGGAAAGACTTTTATGGAAATGCAAAGTAATACGAAGCTTGAAAAAAAAAAAAAATCTGAACTGAGAGACTCTAAGGTATAAAACTGTTTTATGCAATTTAAGCTTTCTTCTTGAATGTTCTTAAAATACTAACATAAGAGACGAAAAAATATTCCTGTTGTCTAGAAACTTATGTCTTTACGGTAAATCCCCAGCACTTGACTTTTTCATTTGACAACGAAGCCTCTGCGACCTGCACAATCACCTTGACCATTGACCTCCCTAATCCTCTTATTGAAGAGAAGGTAATCTCGTCAGCAAGTTCATCGGACCACATGGGAAGGTGATAGCCCCTTGCGCATTTCCCCAAACATCTTTCTTTTGCCGTAAAAAATTACACCCCATCTATTTCTTGGGACTCCAAGCCCTTTAAAAACATTCAAATTTCTTGGTGATTATTTTTCTTGATGAGTACTGTGCTTGATGATTATGCAAGAAAATGGAAGTAAATTTTCTGTTCGAAAAACTGTTTAAAAGATGAATTTACTAAAACACAATGTAATAATCACAACTAGTAATCATTAAATTCAAACCCTCCAAACCCCATAATATTTTACAATCACAACCTACACCGATGAAAAAAGTTCTAATAGTATAAAGACGTTCTTGTAAACAATTAAATAGAAATAATAATATTAATCTAAAACAAGAGAGAACTATGTGCAGTGTTAAATGTACTCTTTATAAGAGTAATTTACACATTTTGGCAACTTGACCACAGACACACAATTAATGAAAGGAATGAAAAACATGCGGATAGAAAATTACCGATAATTTCCAGCGATCAGCTTTAATCTGACACTCAGGAATTAGATTGTTTAAGGTGTCCTTTCAAAATTGAAATCAAAGAATCATGGTAACATGGAGTGCATTTAGCACAGTCCTGTTGAGCTTTAATTAACTGCAATTAATCACAGTAATGAAATCTATCAGAATATCCACAAAAGTACTGTTTGAAGGTTGACTGATCCTAGGAAAAAATAGGCGACCACATGTCTGACAAAAATTCCTTATATAACATTATCACAGAAATACTGGAACCACAGTACACAATTTGAAACATGAAAAAAATGAACACCGTTAGTAACATTACCATTTGTCAAAAGGTAATATCACTCAGGCTTTAAAGTTTTTGCTCCACCATTGGCAGCCTCCTTATCGTTCATCTATGACCTTTTTGAATTACTAATCTATATGAACGATCTGCAGTGACCGATCAAACGTATTGATTTCGGTGATGATGGAGCTTTCTGAGTCTGCTGGCGCAACCGCTTACGTGAATCAACATTCATAAATGCTGCAAAAAAAAGGGTGGGAAAGTCAGTGAAATGCAAATCATGGCATTTTCATCTGGACGAAAACTATAATTCCAGCCGGACAGTAATATTCACAAACATACAAATATCAAGTTTCGATTAAAATCAGCTAATTTCACTTGAATGAGAGATTTTCTTGCACGGAATGTTAGAATTAAAAAAGACAATAGCTAAACTAACAAACCATTCATTTAGCTCAATAATCTCCAGAACCGTCTACGATTTGGTCCGCAAATAAATATTTAACTTACATCTTCAGACCTAGTTCATTATTAGCCATTTCAAAAAATTAAACAATGTAAGTACCAACCGATTAGTTTTGTTTGCTTCTCAGCTATACGTTGTTCTTTGCATTTTGTTAGACTTGATGTAGCTGGAAGGACCGGTATTTCTGGACCTGAGCAATCAGATGATACAGAAGTAGCCAGAGAATCCACATTACAGTTATTATTTTCGCCACTGCTACAGGGCACGCAATTCTCAGTTTCAGTTGGTGTACAACGACTGGATAAATAATAGGAACTGCGATAGAACTGAGGAACCTATAATAAATGAAAAATAAAACAGTAATTCTTATAAACTAAGTAAACAGTTTGTAAACTAAGTGCGCATTCTCGAAATTTATTTTAACAGTGAAAGCTTGCACAAATGGACGACGACAACTTAAACTACAGATCAAATTTAATTAAATCTAATTTTAAGCGATATACTGCAATACTAAGAGTGATATCGAAGCATATTGCAGATAAAAATGCTTGAAGATCTGAAATGCACAACTTACTGATTCGGCCGGGACAGGAGTGAATTCCCACTCGGTGGTGATTGCAGATGCACATGGATTTTCATGACCGAACAGAAAACCCCATCTCCGATGCTGCTCGCGTCGAATTTCGCTTAATTCCTTTGTTAGCCACTGATCAACATTTTGCGGATCCGGACGTCCAAACAGACACCGTCGAGCACTACGCTTCAGCAATTTTACAGGTCCCATTTTATGAGGAACAGTAACAGCTGAAGTAGCATTCACCGGTGTTGATAGAAAAACTGAATCTTCCATTGAATTTGCCAAATAATCGAGAATGGCGGGGAAATTAGAAGTTATAATAAGCGATAAACGACTTTTCAGCTTCTTTATTCCTGATCTTGTTCCAGAAGTACAGGAATGATTAATAAACTGAAAATCATATTTGATATAAGTGAACTGCACGGAGACAGACATAACTTCGTACGCAATAAGTAACCAAAACAAAACAAGAATCAAATCGTTTAAGCATGTTTCAAAAAGTTTAACATGAATTTAATTCCACAATGCATGATAACTTCATTCCATCCATGTAAAGAACAACCAATTTTTGCTTTAAAACAATTTTTTTTAGTAAAAATGAAGCGATAAAGAGAGTTTAAAAATTTCCGAATTATTTAATTTCTAAGAAATTGTGCGCTCGTGTAATTTAAGTACCAATCATTCGTCCTATCGTCTTGGAAGTTGAAAATGAACCTAATAAATTCGAGATAGCCAAGAAAATATGACAGATGTGAACAGCTTGGAAAATTAAGCAATCAGAAAGCTGTGTAAAGCAGTAAATCAAGCATGACTAGGAAGAGATTATAATATTGAAGCCATATGGCCTCAGATAATAAGGACGTGAAGAGATGGCCGGGTAAGGATTAGGACAAGGAATGACACTTTAGTGGAGGACAGAGGAGGAAAGGAGCATGGAAACTGACTTAATACTAGCTTAAAAAGCATTCATTTCCCTTTCCATTTCAATGACATAACCATAATTCAAGCATTAATGGTCCCATTATCAATAGAACAATTTATCCAAATATTTATTTGCAAACATAAATCATTTAAATGACATTCAGTAAGAAAAATACTTACTTTAAGTAACATAGTAGTAGTAGTAGTAGTAACAAAAGTTACTACATTCTATTGAAACAGATGTAAGAGTAAGAAGTCTCAAGGAAATGATCCTTTTAACCTATGCTGAACTTCATGCAAAAAAGCGATAGATTATCTTTAAGCAATAGCAAATAGTGTTCTGGTCATTATGACGGTCAGTTGTTAAAGCAAATGACTATATTAATATCAGTGATAAAAAATAAAGTGCAAAAAGAGAGAGTGGAAGACAATGAGCTATCGTCCAGTTGTCCAACAAACTGAACATTTCAGGAAAAAGATTAATTTATAGGGTTGTTAAGAGAGGAGGAGGCTGAAGTTCCCTATAGTTCATATTGATGGACAACATCGTCCGATTATTGTAAAAGGAGAGGAGGAATGAAGAATGAAATAAAAAAAAAAAAAAGAGGAGAACACGGGTCATCTTATTTGCGAAACCCGATAAGAGTTCTCTTTCCTAATTGTCGCGGTATCACTGATTTAATTAGAATAAACAGAATACCATCCAGTGATACAGAACGTATAGTGTGCATTTTTGCAATACGTTAATAGAACATTTGAATGATTAAAATTGAAATTTAGGAGTATCCGAAATGTCTAACTACAATTTTGCTTATGATTTAAAGCCCATAAAGCAAGCCAGTAAAAATGAAAAGAAATCAATAAACTTTCGAGAGTAATTTCGAGACAGTTCACAATCAATAACTGCTAGAAAATGAATGGACGAAAATTTGCATGTAGATTCTATTAACTTCATTTGAACGTTTCCAAACAAACAATCAAATCAAAACTTTAAAAAAAAACATTTACATAACATGAGTCATAAATAAGTTAATTGTGTGGAAAAGTAAGGTGAACAAGATAAGATAAAACATTAGTCAGCATTAATCACAGGTGAGATGCACAGGTGGTCTTAATGAGTGATATTCCATACAGATAGATACACAATCGAGCAGGTTTGCATTCATAGAACATGAAATTGCGGCAGCTCAATTTAACTGATTAATCAATCGATGATGTTAACAGTACTGATTGTGACGATGACAGTGATAATGATAGAGGTAGTGAGTGAAAGAGACAGTGGGAAGTGACAGATACCGGTCGTTAACAGTAACAAAGGTTGCAGCAATGTATGTGTCAGCATATGTGGTCATTACACAGGTAATGTAAGCAAAGAAGGGCAATCAGATAAGGGTCATCGGGGTCAAGTGGACAGTTGACCAACACAACGACGCACTCACTCACTATGCCGACTGGCTGCTTTCCCGCACTCAGCAATGCACTCCTTCCTGATGGAACACACAACGACGCACCACCTCCTTCTTCATAGCACCTCCCTTTCCTTTTGCTCCCTATTCTCTCTCTTCATCCATCTTCTCCATCTCACACGTCATCTCTCTTCCACTAACGAACTGCCATCTCTTCAGAGATGCTCTCCTTCTCCTCTCCACCCCTCCATCTCTTTATCTCTTCCCAATCACAACATCTATTACTTTCAACTTCATTCACAGAAAGCACTCACGTAAAAATGTAGTCGTCTGCATTCTCTCCAATTTCAGTTCTATTTTCGCTGCACATAAAGAAAGGAAAAGTTGGCACATAACCAAGAGAACGTGAAGCGCAAATGTGCAAGCTACTACCGCCCTTATCAGTACTGTGCACATTGTGTGATGTCCACTTGTAATCAGCAATATAGCATCACGAGCATTCGTTTTTATTTGAGTATTACTGATAAGTGAACGATGGTGATAATAAGAGATCAATCAGTGATATGCGGGATCACGGGAAATTTATCAGTATGCTACTACTACTGTTGATAACAACTGATAACTCTTAGCAGCTAATATATGGCTATTTTCAGATGAATGGTGCAGCAGATACAATATATGATAGCTGTCACAGAAATGGAGAAATAACATTATGAACTGTTCGTGTGATGAATTATGATCGATGGATTATGATCGATGGATTGTGATCGATGGATTATGATCGAGAGTTTCTTTTTTTTTTTTGATAGGGAATTCCCAGAGGTTTGTTTAAGGAAGCACGAATGGACAACTGCCAAAAGAGCGCAACAAAGTGATATGAAGCTGCCAAAAGGAAAGAAGAAGAAAGGATGGCTGGTATTGAAGAAGACAGGTAGAAAGATGTGATCTCGTTAAGGTGGTCGAGACAGAACGAAAGATCGAGAAGACTGCAGTAGGTACAGCTTCTTCAGTTGACATGTACTCAATTTGAGAATGCTCATGTGTCATCTTATCGTTCTCTCCACTCTTTGACAACTATCATTTTAAACAATAACATTGTCACTGTTGTCAACTCTTCAAAAACACACAGTTTTTTCTTCTGAAGAAAAAGATAGAATTGTTTTTTTCTGTGTAGGTAGACGCGCGCGCGCGCAAAAAGTACAGTTGATGAGAACAGTCGAACAGATAAACAGACAGACGGACGGACGGACGGACGGATGGACGGATGGATGGATGGATGGATGGATGGATGGATGGATGGATGGATGGATGGAGGTTGTTTGCTAAGTGAAAAAGAAGGGGAAATATTGGATGGTAGCAGCTTTTTGTGCTTCTTCTTTCCTTGCCGTATGTACTTTGTTTGGGTAAAAGTTACTGTCAAACGAAGTTGTTTATAAGAGAAGAAGCATTATTTTGCATGCATAAAAAGGCATCTATTGTTTGGGATATGCTATGAAATGTGGGTGTGGGTAAGAGTATGGGTAAGGGTAAGTGTAAGTGTAAGAATGACGGGTGAATAAAGAATGAAGGGGTTAGTTGTTTACAGCTATTCGATGATCTATCCATGTGGGCTCGCTGCTCCATCAAGGAACTTGTTCCTCCCTCACCAGTTTTGGCGCCACATCAGTCTCTTCAATATTTCAAAGGGAAACAAATTTCATTGTTCCATCATAGGACAAATGCATAAAGTTCTAGGGAGCATTCATTACTTAATAGGGTGGCATTAGAAATTATCAATCCGGAATGGAAAAACAGAATACTGGAAATGAAAATTACTAAAAGAATATCTGATATACATGGAAATGGAATTTAAATTAGTAAATATTATCTTATGGAAGTATATGTTGTAGTAGAACTTTCTTCATTTAATGAATACCTTATATCACTTGTAATATAGTTTCTTAACAAATATTAAAAGTAATATCTAAAATGATAGGATTGAATCTGTTTACTGGGAAGATTTAATAAAAGTTATTTCAGGGATAAAAGTTTCATTCAAGTTCTAAATTCTCTACAGTACGAACAGTATGATAATATGATATGGTATGATATGATATGATATGATAAACAAGGAAGGCAAATATATGTCCAATTGCGCACACGTTGAAATAAGACATAATGCAAATAGTTCTGGTGATTTTTTTCCTTGTTCTTTTCTTTCACTAATTTCATTTAACACAATTGACATCAATTGTTTTTGTTTGTATATATATACATATGTATGTGTCTGTATGTGCATGTATGTATGTATGTATGTATATATATGTATGTATGTATGTGTGTGTGTGTGTGACACAAATATAGAGTGTTATAGATCGAATTCAACCTACCACCTTTCGGCCTTTTTCTCCTAATTGTTTCCTACTTAATTAAATTTAATTTAGTTCAGTTCAATTCATTTTACTATTTAATGGCATTTTGTAAACGACTCTTTTGCTTAGATAACAGGCAAACAAATAAGGAATCACATTTTATCTCTCATATAATAAAAAGCTTAAACGATGAATGAATTTATTTATTTATTTATTTAATGATATTTGAATTTATTTTGTTTGCACAATTTAATATTTAATTTTGGTCATTGTTTGACCAAAATTATAAATTTTATATATAATATTGACCACCTGGTCATGTCCTTTTATATTTTTATATAGATAGCATGTATATGACCTCCAATTTAATAACAATCCTTAATGATTGTTGTATATTCAGGAAATCGGGAACACTTTGACAAAAAAAAAAAAACGGAAAATCAATTCGAAAAAAGTGTCGAGCGGTGTTTTTTTGCAATGATAGTCGATCAAAATATTCAAAATCTAATGTGATAAGGTGATAAGGAATTGCATTATGCACAGAGATAGTAGATAAAAGCATTAAAACATAACACTGTTAAAATTTGAGCATTTCTTTTCAAATTCATGGATAATATATGATTGTGATAATTTATGGATTAGGTATAATATCAAAAATTTAGCTAAAAATATTTTTAAAAATTTTGTATTGTTTTTAAATTGATATCGTCGTTGAATATCGAATGTTTTAATTAATTTGAAGGAAAATTTGGCACAC